ATGCCAACCCACAGGACAATTCGGTGTTTCAATTAACTAAAAGATGGTTATCAAAAACAAGGGCACAATGTGCAATCCCAATTTTACGTTTCCATATTTTGATAAGAACAGTTTGTTTGGTTTCACAGATATACAACAAAAGAGTATGGCGTCGACAAAAATAGCTAAAAGGCTGGCAAACAAAGATAGAATGCACATACCTAAAACAAAGATAGAAATGCCAACCCCCGCCCATCTCAACCAAATTAATACATCTCTGCCTATAAATGGAGTGACAAGCATCGCCTAACAATGGAGTGACAAGATTCAGTTAAAAACAGGGAGCAAATTAAAAGCAAACTCAAGCAAAAACATTATGTGTGGCTCTAGCTCTGAAACTACACCACCACTCATGTGAACAAAGTTGAAAGGATTGTTGTGGAAGAATGATTCACTTACTAATAGACAACCCCTGCAAGCAAAAAAGCAACATAGTTAAAAACAAAGAGAATGGCTACACTCCAACCACCATCAACAATATACAGAAATATATTTCTATAGTATGCCTTCTGAATAACATGAAACAATTACATACTGCTTGGCTAAGTGATTTATTAGAATAATGTTGATCATTCCAATTGCATCCTCAGTGTGCTCTAATAATTCCTAACCTAGGCTACCATTTGTAGGAGTCCTGAGAGCAAGAAAGACAAGTTAACACTTAAGAATAATTATCAACAGCACCTGAAAACAACCTACGGGGAATCACCTAATATTTTTAGGCTAAAATGGAAAAACAAATAATATAACAACCTCATACAACCAAATTGCACATAATCAGAACTACAATTGCAGTGTTGTATACCTGCAATTTACATTATTCATGTTTGCAATTAATTATCTGACTGTTTTTACAATAGTGAACACAAATTGCATATGCTAAAAAAGCAGCCTCAGCCCATTGTTAAAGTATCTTGCTTTGCAATGGTTGGTTGGATTGGAGATGTGGAGCTGCAAATTAAAAGAGCATATGTGTATTATTGTATTTATATATCTATACAGACCGGCGAACATCAATTGAGATTACCAAATTAGTGTATATTTAATTTGTTCAAAGACAAATAAGTGGCGCTAAACATTGAATAATTTACTTCTCTCTTAGTCTGAACGTTGCAGATCAGATCAGAGATGTCAGCATCCGAATTTAAGGAAGCTCAAAATATAACTGAAACTGAATGTAGCTGACCCTTGCTTCATCAATGGATACAGAAGAAGTAGCCATGGTAGCAGAAAAGATGGACGAAGAAAACAGATTACTAAAGATTATAATAGTGAAATGAGAAAAATAATGTTGGACTGTTTGAAATGGATTATATAGAGTATGTCTAAGAGTTTAGCCTACAACCTGCTATTAGATAGAAGTTTTGGTTCAGGCTACTAACTTTGACCGAGAACGACGTGAAAATACAATACACTGAAAAGGACATAACAAAAACAATTAGAAGAAGAAACAATGCTTTAATTTTATATAAATCAAGTCAGAGCGAAATATTTATTTGGTAAAACTACACATCAAATGCCAGAAAATATTGCTTCACCTGTATCTAACAACATCAGCAAGGGTTGTATGACATCAATAAAATCAAAGAGGTCACTTTAGATGCCGATTGTGACAATGTAAGGAACAAACATTATGTAAATTTTAGTTGACATAATAAACTATAGAAACCACAGCATCATATCAACTTGTGACGCGGCGGTGTTACAGAAATAGAATCCACTACATCAAATGATTAACTTGTCTTGAATAATTGTTCCTGGTACTGAGCGTATGTGTTTTAGTTTCTTGTTAAATCAAAAGACTTAAATTTACTTTTTGCACATGTAGGGTTCCAGGATAGATTATTCAGAGTTTGTGGTGATGATAAGGAAAGGGACAGCTGGTGTCGAGCCAACGACCAACAAGAAGAGGTGAGACATAATCCTATGGTGAAGCAACAAGTGTGTAATGTGTATAGCAGCTGAAACAAGCAAATTTGTACATCTGTACAGAAATGCAATGGAGCTACTTTTGTGAACTAGTTCATGAATGATTGCATACTTTGTGCTATTGATTGAACGGGATTTGAAGGCCATGCATACTTAAGAATAGAGAAAGATAGATGTACTACTGCTAGAGACAGAACAATAGGATGGCGATTCAGCAAGTGCATATTCCAGAAAACTACTAATTATTCTCATTGTGCTTGCACAAAAACAGATGATACATTCGAGGGAACAACATATTCTTAAAGAAAAAAGGCACGGCAGTGTGTATTCTAAAGTAGCATGTCACCAGCATGAAACAATACAATATAAAAAGCATTTGAGAGGGTTGGAAGGCATACATGATCCAATGACGACAAAGATGAAGAACCCAAGCACTACAGGACAACAGGGTAGTCATTTCCCTTTTTAACAGTGGTTTCAGGCATAGAACCCCTCCTGGTGATGTTCTTTTGAAACTTTGCAGTCTTCCTGCCAGCAAGGCGCCTTGAAGTAGTATGTCCAAACAAAAAGCCACAAATCAGCATCTATGAATACTTAGTCAATCTGATAGCTACTTAACATGGAGTGTCAAGCAAATCAAACGTATCAATAGTTTTTTAGGTTGAATTCAGTTGTCAGACGAGGTTGAATGAAAAAGAAAATGCCATCGTCTTGACCATTTCAAGTAGTATTAGATGAGAGGAAAACACAAAGGTTCAGTTTGCCCAATCAATGCGTGCACTACCACAACCTAGGCACCAGATCTGCTCAATCCAAAATTGACTCAAAATTGACTCTACAGCAGAGGGCAAACTCCTCTCCTTGCTCACAGATCTCATCCCAACAGCACAACAAAACAAGCTCCTCGCACCATAGGAAGAATCACACACCATATTAGGAAAGGGGATCGAGCAAATCGAGCAAATCCACACCACATCAGGTAAGGGTATCGGATAAATCATGCAGCGAATGAGGAACACAGAAACAAATAGGAAGAATAGGGACGAATCATGCACCAGAGGTCCTAGACGCCGTTGTCCTACATGCCATGGAGGAACGCCTGGAGGAGCTCGTGGTAGTGACGACGCGGGCGTGGAGCCCCGCGAGGTCAGCGCATCCAGTAGCGAGCCCGACCTGCGTGGCGTTGAGGTCCACGTGGAGCGCCACAGAGCCGTCCCATAGGCGAACGATGGTGGTGGCGGGCTTGCCGTGGCAACCGAATCGGTGAGGAGGAGTCGATGCGCAGAGATGGGGCATGGCGGAGCGGTGAGGTCGCCTCTCGAATCGCCTCTCTAGGCAGGAGAGCGTCGGAGGAGAGAAGACGACGGGGAAATGAGATAGCTAGAAAGGGGCGGGCGCGGTTCTTGATTTAAAACAGTAACGCTCAGAGTAGGCCCGGCAAATCAGCATCACAAGGCAAATCGGCGCGACCAGACGTCGATTCTTCATCTAGCGGAAAGAAAATTCACCTGTCAACAAATAAAAAAACACATGGGCAGAGTATAGCATTTATGATTATGATTATTAATGGCTAAGCTAGCGAGTGATGAAAATCTAATCTTCTAGTCCCTAAAGCTCATCATGGTCATCCTCGTTGTAGGTGTCAGCCGGTGCACCGCCGAACCTCTGGTACACCACCGAGATGATAGGGCTGCACACGTCCTCCAGCTCCATGAGCTTCTCCTCGAAGTCCTCCTTGTTAGCATCCAAGTTGACATCAATCCACTCATTGGCCTCCCTGACCGCCTCCTCCACCTTCTCCTTCTTGTCGGCGTCCATTTTGTTGGCCATTTTGCTGTCGTGCACCACGCTCTTCACCTAGAAGACATATGTCTCGAGCTTGTTGCATGTGTTGACCCACTCCCTCGCCTTTAGGTCCACCTCTGTGAACTCTTCCTCCTCATGCACCTCCGATCGATCTCCTCCTAGCTGAGCCATTGCTCGTCGCCCGTGATGGCGATCTTCTCTGACTTGCCGGTGCCCTTGTCCATCATCTTCATGTGGAGGATGCCATTCATGTCCACCTCGAAGGTCACCTCAATCTACGGCGTGCCCCTAGGCGTCGGCGGGATCCTAGAGAGGTCAAACTTGCAGAGCAGCTTGTTGTCCTTGGTCATGCTGCGCTCACCCAGGAACACCATGATGGTCACGGTGGCCTGCCTGTCTTGGTATGTGGTGAACACCTACGTCTTCTTCGTCAAAATCACCGTGTTCCTCGGGATCCGCTTCGTCATCACCCCACCGATGGTCTCCATGCCCAGAGTGAGCGGCGTGATGTCGAGGACAATCATCCGTTTGGTGCTGTTGTCGCCGCGCCCGCTGAGGATATTGCCCTAGATGGCGGCACCGTACACGATGGCCTTGTCGTGGTTGAGTCCCCTATTGGGCTCCTTGCCGTTTAAGTAGTCCTTAAGTAGTTGCTGCACCTTGGGGATCCTGTTGCTGCCATCGACGAGCATGATTTTGTCAACATCGCTCTTCTATAGCCCAGTGTCTGTCATGGCCTTCTTCACCGGCACCATGGTCTTCCAGAACAGGTCACTATTGAGATCCTCAAAGCACGCCCTGGTGAGCTGCTCCGAGACATCGGCATCGTTGAATAGCGCCTTGATCTCCATGCGCACCTGGTACTGGTTGCTCAGCGCGCGCTTGGCGCTCTCGCACTCACATCGAAGCTTCCCAAGTGCGTGGGCATCGTTGGAGATGTCCTGGACGTGCTTGCACTTGATGAGCTACTTGATGAAGTAATCCATGACGCGCTGGTCAAAGTCCTCGCCTCTGAGGTGGGTTTCGCCATTGGTGGCGAGCACCTCGAAGACACCATTGTCGATGGCTAGGATGTTGACATCGAACATGCTGCCGCCGATGTCGAACACGAGCACCTTCTTCTCTGGGCCCTTCTCGTCGATGTCGTAAGTGATGGCTATGGCCGTGGGCTCGTTGATTATTCGGAGCATGTTGAGCCCGGTGATGATGCCAGCGTCCTTAGTGGACTAGCGCTGCGTGTCGTCAAAGTAGGCCAGGATGGTGATGACGGCGTTCGTGACCATCTCGCTGAGGTAGGCCTCAGCCGTCTCCTTCATCTTGGTGAGCACCATGGCGCTCACCTCCTCAGGGCTAAACTCACGCACGTCACCTTCCCTCACCTGGACCCGCACGTATGGCTTCCTCTTCCTCTCCACGACCTCGTAGGAGAGCAGCTTCATGTCCAGCTGCAGCACGACATCGTTGACCTCGCGCCTGATGAGTTTCTTGGCGTCATAGATGGTGTAGTCCGGGTTGGCCGCCGCCTAGTTCTTGGTGGCCTCACCAATTAAGCGCTTGCCGCCGTCGGTGAAGGCCACCCATGAGGGCATGATCTGGTTGCCCTGGTCTTTGGCGATGATCTCCATGCGGCCGTTTTGGTAGACGCCGATGCATGAGTAGGTGGTCCCCCTAGGTCGATGCCGATCATGGTGCCTCCGCTGGCTCATCCTTCAGCAGCCGCTGCTGATGCATAGGTCGTCGGGGCCACGAGGAGAAGCAGCCCGGCGACCAGTAGCGCCAACAACAACTTCCACCCTCCTCGAGCCATCACGTTGCCGTAGTACGTAGTAGCCATGGTGTTGAGGTTGCTGTTGTTGGTACATGCCACTCTGGACCGCCGATATATAAATGAGTCTATCTACCCAACAACCGTGTGTTTCAGCAAAAGGTAACACATGGTTGTTTGCTGGCTGCAAAACACACGATTTGTAACGGAGGAAAAACCATGTGTTTTAGCACAAGCTAGCACATGGTTGTTGGTTGCTTTGCATAACACATGATTTTCAACTGAGCAAAAACCATGTGTTTTAGCACAAGCTAGCACACGGTTGTTGGCTGCTTCTAAAACAATGGATTTTTAAAGAAGGCCCACACAGAGGAAATCTGTTATAATTTCTGTGCAACTCAAGAGTAAAATAGTACAACCCATTAACTAAAATTACAAATTGGCCCATTTAATAGCAGCAGCCCATAATAAAAGCCCAAAACCATGAATACATAGGAATATAAAGACTTGGGAGAGAAGCAAAGCAAAAATAGATCTGCTGCGTGGGGAAAGCCTCTACTCTGCTTTCGTAGAGTAGGGGAAATGGGGAGACATCAGATTGCAAAGAAGAACATGAAATTTCAAGAAGAAGCACTACAAGACTGATCCATACCTCATCGGCAAAGGTTAGTATCCCAATCTTTTGAATCTACTTTCTAAAAAAACAACAAAAAACAATAGCAACTCAGATCAAAGACCAGGAGAATGTAGATCCATGGAAAAGACATTCAGGATGGCAAAGATGGCCTGCAGCTTGTGCTTGCTACAACAACAGGGAATGGCCCTAGTTGCTCAGTGTGCACAAGAAGTAGGTCCAACACTTGGGGGTTCTGATGTAGTCTAAAGGTACAAACAAGCCTATAGAAATAAAAAGAAACCAAGACAAAAGTCTACTAGCTTTTGCACCATCTTACAAAACCACCTATGGTGTACATAGAAATAAAAGACAAACTAGCACACAACCACACAAGCATGACCAAAAACCTTGATGAGTCATACCAGCGCATACAGCATTGTGTAGAACTACGTGTCCTTTTACATCTGCTTTCATTAGATCAACACCATGATCAAGCGGAAACTTCACAGTGGATATAACACCTGATTGTGCAGAGGCCACAAACGGTGTTGTACCTGCAAAAGAAAAACATAAAAGTGCAATTTATATAACTCACACTGTCAGGTGCCAAAGAGTTACACATATGAGAGCATACAATTTACAAAAGAACAAAAAAGCTACAAAAAGAGTTATATGTATGAACCTCCACTTGCAGCCATATTTTGATCACACTCTAGTTCCTCAACCAATTAAGTATACATGTACAGTATAATTGCTACAATAAGAGTTACACATATGAGAGCATACAATTGTATACATGTACAGTATAATTGTTGAGTGCAACTTATACTTGCTGCTAATGCAATTATACTGTACATGTATACAATTTAAAGATCCGGCTCATGCAACTTGTACACGCAAAGCAGGGCAAAGGGGCAGAGATCAGATCGAAGAGGAACCACAAACCTCAACAGCCAAGGTTAGTACACCGATCATTTGAATCCAATCTCCTTATGTGTGTTAGATGCATGGAATATGTAATGATGAGAAACCTTCTAACTGTCAAAACATGAAATCTAGATGTTATAACAGAACATGAATCTAGAAAGAAGAACAAGGCAGCACGAAATGTCAGAGGCACAATATCAGATTCAAAATTATGAGGAAATGATTCCTCAAGAAGAAAGCAACAATGATGTAAAATTACTCCTAATTCAAAACAGTTGACACAAACAATAAATAAATGAGAACTAATGACTTCTTCATTTTCTTGCAGGTTTCAATTGCTTCCCTTATGCAACTAATACAAGCACCAGTCGAGTTTGATCAACTACTTGAGGTAAGAAACACAATTCAATGATGCAATGAAAAGAAGAAGAATCTAATAAAAAGCTATATAAGTACTCTGCTTGCTTTTTTATGAAGCAGAATAATATGTATGTCACAACAAGTAGATGTGATGATTATCCAACATCAATGAACTCATAAGAAGCAATTAAGGAAGTGTAGTCAGCTCCTTACCAAATATTTGTAGGCACAAATTGTTTTAGTGACCTTTCAAATACCTATAGATACAAAAAGGTGAGCAAAATCATTGCTTAGAATCAAAAAATGCCAACATAAGAAGGTTGTTTTTCGACCAAAATATATTTCAATGCAGGAAGGTTACACTGATCTTATGATGGAACAGATCAGGAACTCTTAGGAAGATAATCAGACTGACTGGAATACGCAGGTAAAATTTATAATACCAGTATACAAAAATTACAATTCAGACATATGCAAATTACACACATATGTGCAATGTAATTTCAGCATAACAGTACTTTAATTTCAATGCTTCATTATAAACTGTGCAGCAACATGAAGAGATGTAAGGATCATTAACAAAGATGATACTTGGAAATGACAGGAATGAGGTAAAACTATATTATATATGCTTGCCAAACTAGTTGTGTTATATTATAAATGGTAACCATTCTCATTATCAAACAAATAAAACAGAATATGAGACTCGAAGATCTGGATGGAATCTTTGGACCACAAACTGACTGGTCAATATTAAGGTCAAGGTTGTCATATGAGGTAGATACAGACAGCTGAGCCAATTTGATTACATTTATAAGTAATACAAATATGTACTGGCATCAAAGTAAAACTTATCTTTGCAAAAATAGGATGGAGAAATGGCAATCGTCGCTGATGATGATGGAGCAACGACAAGCATAGCTGATGATGATAGATCTAAAATTCAACAATACCATTGGCAAACTGATGTATTCAATAACATGTACATTGATGAGGTACATAAAAATGATCTCTTCAACTATTTTAGTCCACACTGAAAAAAAATTATTTGTATTATAAATGACATTACTCAGAAACTAAGACTACTGCTAATATATTTATAGGTGCAGCATGAAAATCAAGATGATCAACCAACAATGGGAGAAAATGACTTGAGGATCATAGCAACAGAACCAACAAGTTCAGATATTACATTAGCTATAACAGATGATAATGAGCATGTAAATGGTAGCCAGGAACTGATGGAGGAAGAGATTGAAGAATTCAACAAAAATGAGCAGGTTGTAGCATCTGAAGGCAGCAATGCACCAATCAACAACAAGTACACCCCATAGCTATCAATGGAATTTAAGACTAGGGATGATGCTCACCATTTCTTCAACTTCTATGCTTTCCTAGCCGGATTTCAAGTTGCCATAACACATATGACAAGAACTCAAAGTAAGAAGAGAAATAATGAGGTTGTCAAAGTGACAATGAGATGCACTCGTCAAGGAAAAGAAAAGGAATCAAAGTCTTTAGAGCAAGAAGAATCTGAAGTAGACAACGATGTTGGAAAGAAACTAGTAAGGAGAAGGAAAACAAATGTTCAGCAGAAGTCGGATTGTCCTTGTGTTATGATGGTGAAAGAAGAAGGAGGTGTATGGAAGATTAAAACTCTTGATTTGGAGCATAATCATGAGCTATGCCCTAGAGATAGGGATCAGCTATTTTTTGGGCACAAGTATATGACAGAAATGGAAAAAGGACTTGTCAAGACTCTGAATGATAACAATATCCTGACTAGGAAGATGGTTTTTATTTTATCATATCTGAGAGGGGGGCTTATAGCTCTACCGATAAGATAGAAAGATATCAACAAATACAGGACAAAGCTGAACAGAGAAGTTAAAGGATCAGATATGACACAAGTACTAGATTATTTCAGAAAGAAATAAACTGAGGATCCGTCTTTCTTTTACAAGTTTGATTTAGATGAGGACAAGAGAATGAGAAACTTGTTCTAGATAGACTGTTCTTCTATGAAATATTATGCAAATTATGGAGAATGTGTAAGTTTTGACACGACATATATGACCAACCGATACAACTTACCTTTTGCACCATTTGTTGGAATCACAGGACATGGGCAAAGTTGCCTTTTCAGATGTGCTTTCCTTCATGATGAGATAGTGGACACTTTTAAGTGGGTATTTCAAACTTTCCTTGAAGCAATGGGAGGAAAACACCCTCAAACGATCATCACAGACCAAGACATGGCAATGAAATTAGCAATAGAGCAAGTCTTCATAAACACAAAGCACATAAATTGCTTGTTCCACATAAAGACCAAATGCTATAATAAGAATGTCAAGGTCTTTGCAGTAAACAAAGGAGTATATGAAGACTTCGAAGATATAGTGAACAATAGTCTAACAGTGGAAGAATTTGAGCGACTTTGGAAGAGAATGATTGAGGAAAGAAACCTTCAAGGGAATCACTACTTTTCCAAAATGTGGGAAATGAGGAAAAGGTTTATCCCGGTCTACTACAAAAATGACTTCCCTTTCGTACAGACCACATCAAGAACTGAGGCAACAAATGTGAGGTGTCATTGAGGCAAAGGATACCTGGTAGAAAAATGTGGCTCATCTTGTCAGCAGCCCAGCCTTCTCAATAGCAGCAACAAAATCACCACCGGTGACACCCTTTGTGGTTGTAAACTCAGCCAGCTTCTTAGCAAAATAGCCTGAAGAAACACAAATTGTCTAAAAACAATGATATATAAAAAA